TTGAACGGTTCATACGAAAGCCTGTGTTTTGCCACGGGGGTGAAATTGAAAGGTTCATGCGAATCGGGAGGGGGGAGGGGGGGGTAAGTTGATATATCGGCACTTGTTTGCGAAGTGTTTGTGCAGTGCAACCATGTCTCTGTGCGTCTGCGTGTGTGTAGCCGTTGAGTCCTTCTGCAAAAAAAGACCGAGCTTTCGTTCTCCATGCCCCTGGCCCTCAAGTGACGGTGTCCACTTCTTCCATAATATGACGGCTCCAAAACCGTCAGCTGTCACGAGGATTTCTTCCCAAACACATTCGATCCGCGTGACACAGCACACGTGTTTTTACCGTTCGGGCGATCCGTGGCGCGGTCCCAATGCACTCGCGAACTGCGGCGCTGCGTTGGGCTTCAGTGGCTCAGCGAGCCGCGTCGTGCAAAACGTCCTGCAAAAGTGGTGCCTGCACACCAGGCATGGGGGCGGTGATGGGCGGAGTACCCGAACAGACTGGCGGCAAGCGTTTTTACTTTGCTACCACGACTCCGATATCACGATTTTTCAAGCTAAATCCAAACTCAAATCCTGCATCAGCTGGTAATCGGCAGCCTTCATGACTACTGCATGTCAGCCAACCACATCAACCAATCCGTTACATGAGGATTTAAACCTGGAACTGTCACGAGGATCGCGTTCTTGACAGGCCCCGTTGCCGTGACAGTTGACCCAAGAAGGGGACCGGATGAGCAAAAATCCCTGTGACTGTGCGCGCTCCTTCCACATGGCGGCTCCAAATCGACCACGGCTCGGCAGCCTGGCTCGCCATGTCCCGCGGGGTTTTCTCCTAAGGCAACTTGCGTGTGCAGCGGCAGGAGTTGCGTGGCACCGTTGGTGGGGATGGCCCGCAACCACTCGCCGGCATGTCATCGTCGTCGCATCCCAGAAAAAAGCGCAAGCGTGTTGCCTACCCTGAACTGTTGCGCCAGGGGCCGCAGCGTGTGTGCGCCCTCGCCGCCTACGAAGCTGGAGGCCGTTGGAGCATGTTACAGCGCTGCGTCGCTACGTCTCGTCACTCAACTCGTGCGACTCCGAGCCCAGCGCGCTCCTGCCGCCCTGCGCCCTGCGGCCGGGCGAGGGTTGGCTGCGCCGCTGGTGGGGCTTCTTGAGTGTGGTGCTGCACGACGCAGTCCCTCCCACCCCCAGCCTCCTGGGCCCGTTGTGCGCGGGTTGCACGGGGATCTCGACCGTTTGGTTTTGCGGACATGAAAGAAGGTCGTGGGAAAAAACAGCCATGAGTCCGATGTCGGCCAACACCTAGACATGGTCCGAGTGCTGCCGAACCTCTCGTTACAAGTGCCTGGCCAGTATTTCTGCCGATGCTAGCAAAGCTCCTGCTGAGCTAGGGTGTTGCGCCATATTTTGTTGACATATTCGCTGCAAGTTTTGAAAGACCTCGCTGACGATCGGGGCCGCGCCCTACCGTGCTCGTGGGGCCAAGAACATAGCAGCACGGGGACGTGTATTTGACTCCATTCGTCAAGCTGCCCGTCAAGCACAACAGGCGGACACAGGCATGGAGGCTCACGTTCACCATCAAGTCTGATCGGGTCTGACATGTCGCCAAGCCTATCTGGCGATCAAGGCCGTGAGCAATCTTGATTTGTTTTTGTAATCTAGTCGTGTAATTGCTTGGTGTGTTTTTAGCCAATCGCTGGCGTGCACTTTTTCATTAATGCCCGTTTCATGATTTTCGCATCATCGCCAACGTACATCTACATCAGGATAGACACGGGACTTTTCGCCTGTGATGATATATCCAGCTAAAGTTCATTTTTTTGCGTCCGCCAAGAAGAGTGGTCCGTAGTCCGTAATCCTTAGTCTTCCAGACAAAAACTCAACCTACCTACTCACCGGCTCGCGGGCCGGTCACCATCGAAGCGGCAATGTACTGGGCCCCGCCGCATCGGCCAGGTCCAACACCAGCTCGAGCGCCAGCGTCCGCCGAGGTGCGAGTCGCCGCTGACCATGCCCGGCCGGCTGCCGACAGGGCTGTCGCAGGCTGAGCAGTGACCGACAGCTGAGTCCACCAACGTCGAGCCCAAGCAGTGGCCGCGGCATTTCGCAGAGCGGGAGGGGCGCGCAACCCGCACAGGCGAACGAGGTCGCGAACGAGAGTCAACCTCCGGCCAGTCCCCTAACCCCAGGCGGTCCGCCCCAGGGTGCGCGCTTGTTGAAGGCTTGTGCTCCCTGTGGGCCACCGACCCTTCCAGTTCCGCGGCACAACTGGGCGCGAAACGGGGGCGGCGGGCGCAGATGACTTGGAGCGCATCAGCCCAGGCGGCCCAGTACGCGGCGGGGCTGGTGCGCGCTGCAGACTGGAGTCCCAGGCGGCCCAGGGTCGCGGGGATACCAGGCGCACTGAAGGTCGGGAGTTCGTTGAGCAAACGTTTCTCCTCCTGCAGACGCTCGTCCGCCCACGCCTGGATAAACGCCGGATGTCCGATGGGCACGCCGAGAACCACGAAGCCGCGCATCACGTGCGACTTTTGCGCGTGGCAGGGTTGTGAGGACGTAGAGGTCGTCCAGGCCGCGACAACCTTTGCGTCCGCTTGGAGGCGAGCCTGTGCTGCGAGCAGGGCGGCATGTTGACCTATGGCATACAACGCCGGCGCGAGGGGGCCCTTGCTCGCAGCCTTCCCCTTGCTGCACTTCTTTCCGCCTCCCCTTGTCATCCCACCAATAATAAATTCATGTGCGCCCGTAGAAGAGGCGGACGAATGGGAGCACATTTGGGGCGACATCCTGCAAAGCCGTTAGAAACGACTCGCGGGACAATGTGTCATATCCCTCCCGGAGACGACGATTGCATCAGGAGAGCGCTCTATGGCCACCCGAAGTTGGGCGGCGAGGGCGTCGGTGCCCGAGCGTGCTTGGAGAGCGTACTGGAAAGGTCGAGTAGCCTTGTCAAACACGGGCGCCCATTGCTTGGCAAGAGCGCGCGCGACCAGCCTTCGAAAGCAGTTGCCCGTGGCTATGCCGCGGACGCCACCGGCCGGCTTGCACAGCGCAAATTCATGTTTTTCGCAGCTTCTATTGATGTCATTTTAATCGCCGGTGAAACCGTGTAGCATCATGTGATGTGTTAACGATAACTCTACACGGAATCTGTCCATTGTATATCTTGCTTGCTCTTTTCTCCATGTGCTTCAACTCGCTTGAACCACATATGTTCGTAGGTTCTGAGCCTTTCGGGTTCTGAACTTTCGGTGCAAGCTGGATGCCCTCTTGTGCGTGTCAGGTGGCTTTAACTCTATAAAAACAGCCCTCGGGGCATCCCGACAGACACCATGCCAGCAAGTTACGATGTCAACAGAAAGGAAGTTGTAGGTCATGTGATTGGAAATTTGGCCGCTGCCACCGCCGTGTTTGGCTTAGCTACCTTCCCCCCCTGTAACAAGGGTAGCGGCAACCAAGCTCAACACAGCGTCCGGTGTCCCAGCTGTGTGCAATTCTCGTGGAGATCCGCATGCTTGTGGCTTGTGGTTTGTTGCTCAACTGAGTTCGCGTCCACGACTGATTGCCGATGGCTGGCGCATAGCTTGGAAACCCCTTGACGGATTGCTTTTTCCCAGATGACATCTGCTTGTGCGCAGGCCCGGACCGCAAACGGAATGGAGGGAAGTTGTTGTGACCCAAGAACAAAGGAAGCTGTTGCGCTGTGTTTTGCAGCATGCATGTTGATACCGAGGCCTGAAAGTTGCACGCCTTCAGCCATGTCTTGCGCATCAACGGGCTCGCAGGCAAGCAGCGGAACCGCTTTGTTTCGCAGTGTGACGTTGGGTTTTTCAAAACACACGTCAGGTAGAAGAGCACTGCCATTTATCTCAAACGCTGGACGTGCACCGCTTACAGGGCTGCAGTGGATGTTTCATTGCGCTTGCCATTTTTTCGGGCATGCTGCTCCATTTGCAGGTGTTGATGCACATCCACGTTCTTGCTAGTAGTAGTGTGCCCGTCACGAGATTGGTTTTGCAGGCATTGTCCGACCAGGACGTCACAACGCCCGCGCTCTCAAACAGCTCCCACATGTTGATGCGATGCATTGCATAGCAAGTGCAACGTTCTTCAGGCCGCGGCGTGCAGAACCAGAGGCTCCTTCCCGTCGAACCATGCCGCAGAGAGAGAGACAGAGACAGAGAAACGGAAGCAAAAGAAAGCAGAAAGTCTGGAGCCTCGTACATGCGTGGATGCAGGTGGCGACCCAAGCAAAACCCGACGCAAAGTCCGAGCCTGGGATCTGTAAGCACTGTATGCTTGAGCCACAGGATGTGAACATGAAGTGGAACTCACAGCACCGAAGTACAAACGCATGGCGGCATAATCATAATCCTAACTGAGGCTTATGCTGCCCGTCGGAAAACGGGGATCATCTGTGCTTGAGCCTCGCGACATGTAAACGGATTCTGGACTCCATAATGCCATGCCGTGTGCGTTGCTCAGGGCTTGGTGTGACATTCAAGACGAGGAGGCCAGCAAAACCTCGGCTTTCTATTTGCATGTTCGATTTGCTTGTCGATGTGCTCCGCAAAAGTGTCGCTGTGCACCAGCTTAGCTCAAGAGCAATGCAAGGGCAAACAAAGCGATATGCCTTATTGTGCTAGTACGGCACAGCCCGGAACACTGGGAACAGTCACTCGAATTGTCGCTCCCGCAAGAGTGGCTAGCGTGCCGGCAGCAGCAGCGGCCAAGCCATGGCGACGCAGGATATCCGTATCGAGTCGCGAGGCTTTCTACCGAGTTGTCGGTCAGTTCAGGAGCATGCCGGGGGAAGGCGGCAGGCCCGGTGAGCAGACGATTGTCGCTAGGTTTCTGCCAATTACTTGCGTTGCTGGTGGCCGTTTCGCCACTTGCAAGGACAAACTGGGAATGTCGGGGCGGAGCTCGCGTCTGCACGTGGAAATGGTAGAGACCGGGAACGAAGCCGCAGCAGGGTTGAATTTATCTCAAGTTAAGAAGTTCGTCGGAATGCTGCGAGGCATCGCAACAGCCGGAATTCAGTAGCTGCTGCGCTCGATGCTCCTCAGGTCATGCAGCGTTCGTCGGCCGTCAGCAGGTTGTCCGGGGATACACGCGACATGCAGGCATCGACCCAAACAGTCTCGGCTGAACACTGCGGATTTGAATGGGCATGTGAGGTATCAGCAATGGAGTGGCGGGAAGAATGCAAGCTGCTCAGAATGCAGATGGAAGCCCAAGACCGGCGCAAGGACCCCAGTCATTCGTTCTGCATATGTGTGCAAGAGCAGACATGACGATGCATGAAACAACTCTAGATTCTTGCCATTGTGCCCAGGCTTCCGGAACTGGCTTGCATTGACTGTCTCCGCTTTACTGGCGATCTTGGCTGTGGTCTGGATCAGGGGCGAGGGCCGCATACATGAGGTTGAACAAGAGGAGCGGTCGTTCTGCTCTCTCCTCCGTGTAATGTGTCCATGCAAGCTGGCATACTAAGCAACGACACGCAAGTCTGCTGATGTCGTCGCAGGAGCAGCGGCTGATTCAAGTAGTCCATGACATGGAGCAGCAAATCGACACGACCGCCACAACGACCACAATTACAATGACGACCGCCACAACGACTACAACCACATTGAACCAGAGCTTTCTCGACTGAGTTGTGGACTTGTATCTGCTCCCCTCAGCAGAACGCCGCCGACAAAGCCATCCAGGCAAATTGGTGAGCATGTTGCGCATGAAGTGCCAGCAAGTCTCGGCCCGGCAGCTCCTTTGCCGTGGAGCTCACCTCCCCGCGGACGTCGAGTCTCACGGCCCAGCTGAGAATGAGAGATGCTCTATATATCTACGAGCTCCGTCAAAGAACGCGGAGTAGTCAAGCCGTTTCACGGCACACCACTTGGTGGCTTGGCCTCTCATCTCTCCAAGAAAAAAAGCCTTTCGATGCCAGTCGTTCGCTTGGAACTAGAACGAGTGCCTTGACATACACTGTGCGAGTTGCTTCGCGCGTTCTTGCCAGACGCTCGTCGACAACAACTGGCTTCCCAGCCATTTGGAGCCGAAACAGACAAAGGCCATCGGGCTCTCCAAGATTTTTGATCATCCCGGACCCATCCCTAAACCATCCTAAACCCCAAGCCCTACACCCTTAACCATAGCATGTGGGCGAATCGGTTCAATCAGACAGCACCAGCCGGCTGCTTCGGCCAAAACAGTCCCGCATCGGTAAGGTAGACTTGCCGCAGGACCTGAGAGCATCTACTCCTACACTTCACTTCAGTCATGCACAATTAAAGCTTTGCAGCATTGAAATTAGACCTGTATAGGCATTATTTAGATCACACCCCTATGGGAAGCAGACAGAACACCGAACGATCGCTGTGACAGTTCCGTCTTGGTTTTCTCCTCCTGGAGCTCCGCGGATAGGATCGTTCAGTGCTAGCCGTGGCTGGCGTGACGAAAGCAATGTCGCCCTGTCCAGGCGGCAGAGACGGCCGAAGTCAAGAACAGCTTCGGCAAAAAGCAAAAGCCGCAAAAGAAAGTTCGAGATGTGAGCTCGCGTGCAGGGAGCTCAGTCCCGGACCAGTGCCGAAACGATGCCCGGCTCCACTACAGATCCGACAGCGGAGTGTCTTTGAGTGTCTTAGTCTGAGTAGCTTGCTTGCAAGAACTTTCAGCCTGCCCGCGCCAAACACGACAACTCTGCTGCAGTCTTGCTATTGCACATTGCGAGTTGGGGTGTAGCTGCGCTGGCTCAGCAATCCATTTCCACTGTACTACACCCCCAGTGCGGCCCAGAGCCATGGAAGCGGAGCGCCTGATGGTGCCTCGGACTGTCGGACTGTACATGGCGAGGGGCCGTCTAACAAACGTCGTGCAAGTTAGTCCGTGCAGGAATGGACAATTTTGTCTTTGAAAGGGCGTGTGCAAAGCTGCGGTCAGGATTATGTCGAGGTCATGCCCGTCATTCAGAAAGCCGAAAGTTATTGTGTGCCACCTTGCACTCCAGTAAGGAAGAGGGCAGAACAAACGAGCAGCTTCACATCGAGGCACGGATTCGCGTGTTCACGTAAACAATCGCAAAGAAGAGGTCGACGAAGGCTAAGGACTCCAGCAACCCAGCCAGGATCAGAAGTCCTTCTGCGAACGCTGTGGTTTGTGTGTTGGCCCGCGCTATGCTTCGACACTGACCGACCACGAGCGAGATGCTGCAACTGGGCTTAGTTTCTGCTCCACGGACATGTAAATAGAGGCAAGTGAAGGGTTCGTAGGCTGTGGAAACATGTGGAATCGCTCCCAACCGAGTGTTACCCTTATCGCACTCTTTGTGAAGAGCTCGGGTTTTCTGAAAGGAAGTTTTCGGCAAAATCACGGCTCACTCAACGATGGTGACGAGATTTCTGCGATTCATTTATCGAAGTATCACACTTTCAGGCGGCTGATTGATTAGCACAAAGAGCTGCTCACTAATTTCCATTCCTAGTGCGGATAGCATTCACCCACTACAACACAGGTCAGGAAGGAGTGCGGAGTTTGAGAAGCGATCTTCCTGCTGTGAGGCAAGTTCCACGTCTAGACCGTTGCGGGGCCATTTATGCGCCAAAACAAAGACATGCAAATGTGATGTGATCGCACGTGCAATCTATGCAATGTAGAGCTGAGGTGTGGCACATGCGACGTCAAGCCTTTCGGCTGAAGCTTTCGTAGTGCATGCATTGGGAAAGGAACTGCGCAGCTTAGGTAGTCAATAGCCCAAAGCCAGAAGAGGCCGAGCTGCACAAGCAAGTCGTGCCCCTGGTCGTGTGCAGAAGCACAAGTCCGGCTCGCTCGTAGGGCACTGCTCAGGTGCTGGAGATCTGGAACACTGCCTTTCCGGAGGAGAAAGCGGAGGCATTTGCAAAAGGCTCCCGCCGCGGCCTGACGCTTGCGATTGACATGGTCTTGGGGCCGCTGTGCAGCCAACCAGCTCTTGGTTGCAAGTTGTGAGCACGTACCGAGATTGGAAGAAGCTCGGCTTCCAGGGTGTCGACCCTGCCACAGACGTTCGAACGGGAGCTTGGCCTCTTGAGCAGCTAGCAGCTCGCCGGAAGGAACGAATCACATTTGTCAGTTGGGCAGTGCCGTGCACTGTCTCAGTCTTGTTTCGTAGGGCTTTCCTCTGGATGTGAATTTGAAGGCGAGCTTCGCGCGGCACCGTCCACGAGTCACATGTTTGCATAACTTTCAGTGTTTCCAGGCCCTAGGCGGTGGTAGCCTTGATGTTGTCTGCCCGATCGGGGCCTCAGGTTCCGGGAGTTTACTGTTGAGACCGGTTGTTGCGACGTGCCATGTCTGCGAAGTGGTTTGAGCCGTCTCTCAGCATGGCAATCAGGAGTTGCAGGACATGGCGGCCCGGCAGCACCATTCACCCACTACCTAATGATCGCATTGTGCTGGAGGTGTGAGGCAGACTTTGCTGTTGCCAGTCGTAGGTGCAGCAGTCTGCAAACCCAGCATCCTTCTACCTCTTTGCGCCACTTGGTGCAACTTGAGCAGGGAGGTGGCCAAGGCGTGGAGGAGTCGAAGTCTGATCCGTCCTGTTTTTGTGCAGGATCAGCTGCTTCAATATTTCTCACATGCTGGCCGGAAGCTGAGTCTCCAAGCATCAACCGAGAGGCCGGGCCCCGAGCGCTCTGAGGCCGTGTTCTTCGACCTCAACACCTCCCTCTCCGTATCTCCCTTGGGAGCAGTCCGTCGAGCCAGCAAGCGGCAGCTTCGAAATCTGGCGAGACTCGAAGCTTGGACTTAGTGAGTGCAACATCTTCCCTTTGAACTTCGCGGATCTGTGCCACCATTTTTTTCAGGTCGTGCGAGAGTGCAATGCAAACAATGCAACTCGTCATGAGTTTACGGCCCAAGACAAGAGGCCACAGTGGTCCGCTTCGTAATTTGTTCCCACAGTTCTCAGCGCTAGGAACTCCTCAGTGTTGTCTTTCGACACGAGCTTGAATGGGGTTCCTGTTCCGATTATGATCCGAAGCATGCAACAATGTTGTGTGAGAAGTTCGGCGCTTGCTCGAGTTTGAACTGAACCATAAAGGATACGTCCACCTGTTCCATCAGCTGGAGTCGCGCAAGTCGTAGGCACCGTTCAAGGCTATCAAGGCTGACCTGGACCTTTGAATACTACGCCTGGACCTTTCGAGAGAGAGAGAGAGAGAGCGAGAGAGAGACAGAGAGAGCGAGAGAGAGAGAGAGAGAGCGAGAGAGAGAAATAGTTCATCGCAGTCCCTTCAAAGCCCCATAACACGTGGGGGGCCCATGCGGCCGAGGGACCTCAAGAGTCCCTCATGCCCAGTGGAAGAAGAGAGAAAGAGAGAGACAAAGAGAGGCTCGCATAGCCAAGGTTGACATGTCTGCGAGCATCTGCCGCCTGGTCTTGGACGAGGCATTTCTCCCTGTGAGGACCATCATTGAGTTGGCTTCTGCCTGCTATTGCTAGGTCTTTGTGGAGGTGCTGTCGGTGGTCCACAATCACTGGCTCGAACTGAACAGGAATGGAACCTGGGCTTCAACATGTTGAGGGATGCTGAAACACGCATTCAGCACGGAGGTCTCGAACTGCATGTCCGATGTGTTGCATGTTCGGCTTCTGAGGTGAGAAAATCACGCTCATGGATTTTCCAAAAGCTCTCCGAGGCATAGCAGCATCTAACTAACGAATCGTATCAAGCAAACTACCTGTGCAAGCTCTGTCTATGACGGCTGTGGAGAGAGTGCATTCTCCAAGGAAAGGGCTTTGACGCGAATTCGAAATTCTTTGACAGGCGCCCATACAATTTCACAGTTTGAAAGTGGACGAATTTGGTGAGCAGAAGCTGTAGCTTCTCGTGGCACTGCTAATGCTAGGATGTGATACAAGACTGGTTGCTCTCGCAGGCCTTGCGACTCCTTGGGCGACTTGAAAATGGCTTAGCCAGATCTCACTGCCTTTTGAGACCTGGACTCCAGCGAGACTGCGGGTGCCAGCACCTACCAGAGCCATGTTGGGGTTGGAGATGGGCCTCCTAGCAAGAGCTACAGTGCCGTCCTTAAAGTTGCGTCCCATACTGCTCACTCTCCTTGCTCGCTCGTGAAAGTGATAGTGTGTCACCATACGCTTAGCTTGTACAGTGCTCCAAGATGCGGCATTGCACCCGGAAGCAGGAACACAAAACATGTGCCACGGCACCTTATGTGGCGAGGGATGTGCGAACTATGACTAAGCCTCGAAACCCGCATCAACGCAGGGAACGACATGCAAGGTGGAAAGAGAGGCGAAGACGCCGGATGCTGGATATGCCCGCCAGCAAATGCCGCGCACTTGCGTTGGACCAGTCCGACATGTTGTTGGTTGGGTCCCGTCAACTCAAGGCCAGTACACCCAGCGTCACCGGCTGGGGCTGATAGCTCTTCCCAGGCGCCCAAGCTTTCAAAATCATGCTGGAGCGTCATTTCCGCGTGGCAGGTGGTGACTCTTGGAGACCTCGGCCTACATTGTACAGCTTGGAACCAGGCGGTGACCGTCTTGGCTTGCAGAAGTCTTCTTGTCTTCCGTTGCCTCCTGCGGAGCTTTCAAGGCTCACGGGATGCTACCGGACCTTCGGGGCCCGCCGAGCGGACCGGAGGCGATGCCGAAAGGAATCACGAATCGAATCGAGGAGTAGTCACACGCCAACGCCAGGTTCCATGGATGCCCGGGCAAGGAAAGGCGGGCATCACAACCTACGGTGTATGCTGCTCCAGCTTCACAATTACGACAGGGCGCTTTGCCACCGCCCAGCGTGATGAGCACAGCCCCGATCGACAGCGGTCGACACCCGGCCCGCCTGCTCATCTCGTGGCCTCCGCCCAGCTCTCCGCGAGCTCGCTGAAAGTGAGGTCTTGTTGCCACAAGCGGCCTTGGGCCAGGAACCCAGACTTGGCCTTCTTCCCTCCTTGGAACACTCCATTGCTGTCCTCCCGTCCCAATGCAGAAGCACGGCTCAGGCACATCTCCAGCAGCTGCAGCCGCTGCGCAACTTTCCGGAAAGATCGGAGTAGAAGGCATCTCTTACGTTTTGGATGCCCAGGCTCCCGCCCCGCTTTGGCGATGCATCAACTCGATTCTGTCCAGGCACATCTGCTCAAGTGGACCGCGTGCACATGCCCCACACACTCATTTCAGAATTCGAGACGCTGCAGCACTCCGTAATGGCAATAGAACTAGTCGTGATTGTTGGGCACTATTGTGTTGTCACAGTCGAGAAGAAATTCGGCTTGCGGTGCTTGTTCAGTTTCTTGATTTGCAGGTGCTTCACCGACAGTTCAATTCGGCAACGCCTCGATCAGGTTTATACCTGCAGGCCAAAGCAAAGACATGTTCAATGCAGTCTCTGCTACATGGCAGCTGGTTCGCTGGGCTGGCGGGACAGGCTCTCCAATGGCAAATCCACTTGCAGCAGCGACCCCCACCGTTGGTGTCTGAGTTTCCGACATGCAGCACATCTACCATCATCTTGTGGCTAGCATTTGGTTCTTTTGAAGCGCCGGCGCCCGCAAATATGGACAGTATCGGCATCTCTGTGCAGAAGGAGTAGGACTCGGACGAAAAAAATGAACCAGATTTTCGGGAGAACTTTCGGGTCTCCGGTTTGCCGAGGGGGGTTGCTGATGTTATGTAGACAGAGAAAAAAGGGAGCGGGTCAAAACCTTCTGGTTTGTAACAGGGCCGGGGCGCCCCTTGCGCGACAAAGTTTGTAACAAAAGTTGTTTTTTTCGACAAGGCTGGCGCGACAAGGTCCATCATGTGGCATTGCCGCGCGACAAAGGTTTGAAGCAAAGCCGGCGCGACAAGGGTTTGTAACAGAGGGGGGGGGGGTGGGGCCCCGCGACAACATGGGGTATTGACCCATGCCCTAAATAGGTAAATA